TCATCATTTTCAGCTCCTCCCATAAATGAAGCAAGCCTCGATACGCGCATCGCGGAAACGCCCCCTCCATTACTCGACACAAGCTTCGAAACCTCGATACAGAATGTCACATCACTAGTGTCCTCTACTAAAACATTAAAAAGACCAATGCCATGCAGACCATCCTCTCCTCCTCTACACATCTCTGCAATTAGCTGAGTGTAGTCAGCTGTGCCTAACTTACTGCCTCAAAAAGCACATTTTCACAAGAGTCTATGCAGTCCTTTGAAAAACATGTGCAATGCTCAGAAAAATCAACTTTTCAAAGTTAAACAAACCACAAGATTTCTGGAGCAATATCCTTTAGACAGATGAGAGCAAAGTGGAGATGCACAGTGCCACAGAACCAAACACAGACGCCAACTGTCCAGCCACACAACCTGAGGACCTTGCAGTCATTGAACAGACCAGGAACACTTTTGTATACCAAAACAGAATCCAGTGAGGCTGTTTGTGCAACAGGTAAAGCTTTGCTCAAACTCGGTCATTCAACAGGACAACAATCCCAGGCTCAGCAGCGAATCTACAACAGAATGGCTAAAAAAGAAAACAATCAAGGTGTTGTGCTGTGGTGGGACCTTAAATAGAGCTGTGTGTAAATTAATGCCAAGATAATTAATGCATTTCTTTAAATTTTAAAACAAGAATAGATGAATTCTAACAAGTTGGTATAATTAATACAGGTCACAGCGTAAATGGGTACACAGGTGTAAAAGCAATTTACGCAATCCTGTATCAAAAACAAAACAATTAAACATCCAATGAGCATCTCAAGGACATCTCGAACAACGTAACCTCCTCTGTGTGCAGTCATACATGCCCCCTTTCCCTTCCTGTGAGGATAATAAATAAATAAAGGAACGACCAGGATATCACTGAGTTACATGTATTAGTGTCTCTAATTTGTTGCTCTTCTGGTTAATAATACAAAAATGTGACCATTTATATTTTATATTAATTTATGATATGGAATTTTTTTTTAAATTAACACTTGAATATTGTATCATGATAGCAATGACACTGCTCAGACTTCACGTGTAATATACCCGAATAACCTCATGCTGTTGGCACTTCTGTAGCATCTCACTCACAGCCGACATGTGGATGCCCTCTTTCAGGAACAGATCACAACCTGAAAACATAACGTGCTTCTGTTTGCTCAGCAGGGGCACTGTTGCCAGACATGTTGCTAAGTGACAAAGTAACACAACACATTTTTTTGTGTGTGTGAAACGAGTTGAGCTGGGTGCCGTGTATCAGGAGCATGCAGGCGGGGGAAAAGGAAAAAAAACAGCACTCAGGTCGTTTCAGGCGAGAGCTGTAAGACCTCAGCTTTTCTCTGTGTCTCTCACAACTGTAAATAATTAGATCTTGGATCCAGAGTTCATCATCCTTTTGATTTTCTCCGCCAGCAAAACATTTTGGCCGAGGAGTCACCCAGTTGTCTTCCCACACCTGCAGACAGATCACTGGAGCAAAATGAAAACAATGGTAAGAGTAAAACGACAAGAAATCCTGCCTACCTGCAGAGCTGCAGACAAATTACTAAAATAATCATTACTGTGAGTTGGTGTCATGGTTATTCCCACATAGGTACCAGTTTATTTTGCGTCACTTCCACCATCCTTGTTAAAAGAATCAGGTTTGTGAGAATAATCAAGTAAAAGAAACTGGCCTTTTTAAGAAAAATGTCTCTAATTTCCAATTTGTTTTTGATTTTATAATATATTTAAGTGGCTCTGTCTCATGGAGGTAATTCTGCTCTAAACCACACCACCACCAGCAGCCCGTTACCTCCTCTGACTCAGGACGAAGGTGCAGGTAATGATTCTCTTCCCTCCCTCTTGTGAGCATATAGCAGGTGTCACATCAGAGTTGGTGATGAACTCTTAATTTAGATATTGGTCTCACTGCTGAATCTTTATTTTGTTTATGTTTTTTCACTTTAGGCACATTAAAAAAAAACAGTGTTTCACCTCGAAACATGTCCCAGTACAGGAATGTGTTCAATGAGCGTGCTAGGACGGGCTTCTGCTACTGGCTTGTGGAGAAGAGTCCAACATGTTAGTACTGACTGAAGCAAAATGACGCAAAACATACAATAGATATCTACTTATTGCAACTTTCATGCACGTGTTGCTTGATTATCTAATGTGATCCTGACAACCTGAGTTTCAAAAGAGTTGTGACACTGTGTAAAATGTAAATAAAGACAGAATGCAGTGATTTGCAAATCCCTTAAACTCATATTTGACTTACAACAGAACATAGAAAACATATCAAATGTTTAAACTGTGAAAAAATTACCATTTTAAGATAAATATTTGCTTATTTTGAATTTGATGACAGCAACACATCCCAAAAAAGTCAACACAGGGCTGTTTTTACCAATATGTATGGTCAGCTCCTCTCCCTTACAACAGCCTGTAAACATCTGGGAGCAGAGGAGACCAGCTGTTGAACGTTGGGGGGGGGGTGGGGGGGATGTTGTCCTAACCTTGTCTGATACAGGATTTTAGCTTCACAGCAATTCTGGGTTTTCTTTCTCATATTTTCGGTTTCATAATGTATTAAATATTCTACTGTGGTGCCATGGTGTTGTAGTAGATCAAGTATATGGTTTAGCATTATCTAAAATAGGTGAGGCCTTCCCTGAAAAGTACATCATCTGGGTATTCGATTTTTTTTTTAGCTGTGTCCGTTGTGCACAGAAATTTCTCTAGATTCCCTGATTCTTTTGATGATATTAAGTAGATGATGAGATACTCAAAGTCTTCGCAATTTAATGCTCACAATAGAATAATTTTATGTTCTATTGTGATTCTAATTTTTGATGGCAAACCATAAAAGGAATCAAGTGATTCTCACAATCAAAATCTGTTGCACTACAGCAGATGATTGTATAAGAGATAATTCTTATACAAGAATGTTCATGGATGCTGTTATAAGGAAGGACAATGATACATGACTAGTTTACACATTGACATCTTTTTCTTTTCATTCCTGTAGGTAAAGGATGCAGCTTTGGTGCATATAAAACCTTTTTGGGATTACCAAAAGTTTGAAGAAACAGTTCACCAGACCTCTTCTAAAGATGCCCACATTAGCTTGCACTTACTTGAAAATCTGTAAAGAAGCATTATCAGAAATACACATACTTCTGGAAATTTGTTTAACTTTCTTATCTTTTTTCTGCACAAGTAATGAGGTATGACAAATTACAACATTTTATTTCCAAAAGAGACTTGATATATAGCCTGCCCAAGTTCTCTTAGCAAAACATCTTTATTTTGTTTTTAACATAAGTAATAATGATAATGGCAAATTTAAATTTAATAAGTTAAGCCTCACCTCTCATCATCTTCACTAGTTGAGTTATAATCTTGTATATTCCCTTGTGCTCTAAATGCTGTATTTGACTTTTTTATGGTTGACTTTGTCTTTAGTTTCAATTCATTCAGAAATGCCTCTAAGTGAATATACAGAATACAGCTGATTTTTGCACACTCTCTTTAGAGCTTGTTTTACATTTTTGGAAGGTTTAAATGAAAAAAACAAAATTAAAAATGTTGAATTCACTGTGTCACAAAAATAAACGTTAGTTTGCTTTAATTTGACCTGTTATTCTGGTAAAGTGAACTTTTGGTGCAGGACAACACTCGCCTACAAATTCCTGAAAATAGGCATATTTTTTTATGTGTTAATAATTCATAGATCATACATGGAAGCTTCTTTCTGCTACTGATAAAAATCAAAAACAGAACCCAAAAAAAGACTGAAAATTATCTCAAACTTTGGACATAACTCAAACTCAAAAGTAATTTTGTAATTTATTAGTTATTTCTTCGATATTTTTGCGATGCCCTGTTCAAAATTTGAGATAACAACCTGAAATTTTAAGCTATAGTGTATTCCCTTCAGTAGCAGACACAAAACATCAAGCCTAGGAGCTTCACAAAGAGACAAAAGATTTTTCGGAAAATTGTCAGGTACAAAGACTGGACTGAATACTGGACTACTGCTCAAGACAACTTTAAATAATTAGTAAAGTAAACAAGAAAGGCTGGCTCATTGGAAGGAAAATATAGAGAAAACTCATGTTTAATTGCTGGTTTAGCCGGTGTAAACAATTCTCGCGAGATCTAACACGATTGTGTGACGAAAGCGCAAAGGAACTTTTAAATGTGCGCTCTTATCGCCACCCAGTGGTGAATTTTATAACAAACCTTTCTTGGTTCAATTCAATCCATTAATAATAAGTGAAGACAGTGAAACGTTTCAGTGCTTTTGTTTACAGACCGGACTCCGTAGCAGCCGTTTAAGCTGCCGGTTGACGCTTTAATTGCCGTTTCCACCGCGGAGACCCACCAGGTAACAGCTCCTCAACGTCAGGCAGTGCTACTTAAAACAAGCAGCTTAGCAAGATTAACGTTTTATAAATGTAAAATAATTATAGTGATTATGATTTAACTAGTTGGATTGAAGATTTTGAGGTAATGATTATTGTTGACAAACATTCGTGACCGGGAGTTTTGTGGCAGTCAAGCTGCTAGCTAGCACACAGTTATATTGCCAAAGTTTTACCGTCAAGGCGCTCCCCCCCCCGCGGAGTGCTTTCACACGGTTAATTTAGTCTCATAGCTTTAAAAAATACACAATCCTACTGTATATAGGTTATTAAAGCTGTGTTTTATTGTTCATCCCGCTAATAATTTTATCACCTAAAATTGCCTCCAGGTGCAACCAGCGGAGCCCAGCCCTGCACTTAGAAACAGATATATTAGACCCACAGGTAACCCTGCAAGTTAATTCATTAATAAACAGGGATAGGTTTGACGAGCTGAACTAATGAATGAATGGCTACTCATTCTGCAGAACTTTGAGATACTCAAACTTATTTGAGGCCAGATTATTTTTGTTAATGCTGTGAAAAAAGCTGTTTCTTTGTAAACACATTTGTATTTAGGTATATACTAGTTGTAGTTTTGGCTGCAGTATTGGGGTTGATGTGTATTGATTTGTGCAGGGAAAGGATGAGCCCATATTCACGCTAGTGTTAGGATTTACGTGATCTTAGTTTGAAAGACAAGGGTTTAAGGTCAGATGATAAAGTAAGACACCCACGCTTTTCCGGAGCCTTTTCCAGGTTAACAGTGCATATTACCACTTAGAGCTGTGGTTCGAGCAGGGAAATATCAGCCCCTAGGGATTAATATTGATAAGTATAGATTTACTCACATTATTGATTCTGCTTACAGGGCTAGTTCTTAATCCATCTCCTTTTTAATTGCTAATCAGATATAGGTGGACCAAAAAAAAAGGTTTTCACCACAACAGGAAAGCTTCATTAAGTCAAATAAGAGTATAAAAAGGCTTGCATGACATTCAGTGCAGAAGCTCCACTGCTGAATGTGGTGTCCTTGTTCTGAACTTCCAGTAAGAATGTGCCAACGCTGATAAAACGAGCTGGTAAGATTGGAGAGATATGATTACTGTGGAATGAATTTTTAAGAAATTCTCTTAACCAGGTAACCCAGTGTTGGGCCCACTTTATGTAGAGTTAATGTTATGTAGAAGCTAATAAAATGATAATCATTACATGAGAGCCAGTCCGTGGTCATCCATATCTAGAAGCTTATCCAGATGTGTTCATTCCTTTATTAACTGCGTTTTGGATCAGGATCTTAGACATGGACAGCAGAAGAAAGAAGGTGGCCTTCAGCTGGCTCCGAACTACAGTCACTTCACCAGCACATCGTCAGGGTGGAAACACTGACTCGGTCACACCGCCTTGCCGGACCATAACGCAAAATGAAGATTCAGAAACTTTGCCCTGCAGTGATTCTCCAGGATCTGCACGGCTTGGAGCACTGAGTCTGGATACTCCCAAGAGAAAAGCCGAGGTTCTCTCTGAAAGTCTGCCCTCTGTAGGCAAACTTAAGCTGCGGAAGCTTTCCAGAAAAAACAGTGAAACATTTAAAGCTTTGAAGGTAAACCTTTGCCATTGGATTATAATTTTAGATTGAATGTTTTGAATCTATCTTGAGTCTCACAAGTTGCTTGGTTCCAGTGAATACATTATCTGTTTGTGGTTAATTTGGCACAGGACAAACCTATGAACACCTCAGCCGCACAGCTAGAGTCCAAAAACATCCAGAAAGCTTCACCACCTCCACCCCACTCTTTTATCTTGAAGAAGAAAGACAGGACACCTGAGGAGGGATTAAAGGCTATCTGCAGGAAGGCACTGATGGCAGCCCTTGGAAACACAAAAACAACGTGCAGCACTACTAATATCATCAGAACTGACACGAACAGCTTGTCTTCACCTCTGCAGACTGAACGTCCCAGTCCAGCCTACCTTGAGACAACCATTGTGGATATTAACAGCTCCTGGAGCCAGTATGACACTGCACCTGAGGACCGAGGTGGTAGCAAAGGAGATCAGTCGCCCACCCTTCAGGTGTTGGACGACTCAGACATCAAAGGTGATGCTTCAGAGCCAAAGACAGATGGAAGGGTAAGCAACTACAACTTGTAATAAAAGTAATATAGCATTTCTTCTTGTTATAATGTTTTAGTTTTGCATTGGTTGTTATTGATTCTTTTGAATTCTAAAGCAACTTCAGTTTTTATTTTAAAATGTTTTTAAATGTATCATACCATAAAATTATCATGGCACTGAATCAAGAATCAATCCTGTTTTTCAGCATTTTGTGGTTGAAGGAGAGGATTTTCCCAGGATGTTTGTTAGTGAGGACTCTGTTTCTCTGGAGAAGACCTTCCAAGACAGACCATTTCCTCCAGACAATGAACTGGAAGCTGAGGACCATGACTCCGCCCTCCCTGCACTCGAGTACATACCAGATTCTTCATCTCGTTTCTCATCTGACCAGAGCTGTGATCAACATCAAACTTTAGTCGATAGTGAGGGAAGTGTAACTCCCACTTTTACGTTTACGCCCTCTAATGAAACCACTGGAACCCTCGAGGCAGCTGCTAAAGACATGGAGGTGCCTTTCTCATCACCACAGAGGAAAGTTTTTGTCTCACTGAAGCAGCCCCACTCACCGCACGTGAGCGTTTTAAATGCATCCGCAGTTGAGGCTGACAATATTTGCTCATCCATCATTAGGGGACATTCATCGGATCCCTTTGCTCTGCCCCGACACTCAAATATGGGAGCGTCAAAGCTGTGCTTCGACCCCACAGCCTCACGCAGGCAGTCGGATGGTGTTTTCCGCATGCGTTACCCTGGTTACTCCTCATCTCATACTTGGACTCCTAGAAGACTGTCCTTGGGGGCTGAACCTTTATGGACCAGCTACCCCTGCTCGGGCAGTGAAGCTGGCTTCATAGACACGCATTGCCATCTGGACATGCTCTATGGAAAACTTGGCTTCTGCGGGACGTTCAGCAGCTTTCGAAGGCTGTACCAGAGTAGCTTCACTGGAGAGTTTCAAGGCTGTATTACAAACTTCTGCAACCCAGATATCATGGTGAAAGAGGCGCTGTGGGAAGGTCTGCTGGCTGAAGACATGGTATGGGGGGCATTTGGGTGCCACCCGCATTTTGCCAAAAACTACTCGAGTATTCAAGAGCGCAATATACTGACGGCGATGAGGCATCCAAAAGCCGTGGCCTTTGGTGAGATGGGCCTGGACTACTCCCACAAAAACTCTACTGACACCTCAACGCAGAAAGAGGTAAGGTAAAATCTGAAATGGATTTTCTAATTTGAGACTCGGTTTTTCTTAAGCAGCGTATGCCTGGATATTGAAAATAAGAATGTCGTGGTCTTTGTTTTGTTTCTCTGCTTCTCTGTGAAGGTGTTTGAGCGGCAGCTGCGTTTGGCCGTGGCCATGCAGAAACCTCTGGTGATCCACTGCAGGGATGCAGATGACGACCTGCTGAAAATCATGAAGAAGTGTGTTCCCAGGGAGTACAAAATTCATAGGTGTGTTGTGTGTGGAGTAAAACCCTTTAAACTCAGTTTTTCTTTTTATAGCTTCTTCTTAAAATTAATTGCTTATTTTTTTGTAAGAAATTCAAATGTTTCAGTTTAGAGAAATAAGATAAAGGCTTGCACTTTATTTTTGACTAGCCTTTTTGTAATTGTCTCGTAATAGTTGTCATTTTTTGATGGTGATGAAGAAGAACAGAAAACTGTCATAAAGTGAATTTAAATTATTTAATATGTCTGAAACAGCTGTTCTGCTCATTTCCACATCAGAACTGACAACCTGAGGATTTTTAAACTCTAAAGACCTTTGGAGTTTAAATCTTAGTGCCTTTAATCAGAATTTTTAATTTGAATTACGTTGTGCTGTCCAGGCACTGTTTTACTAACAGTTATCCAGTGATTGAGCCCTTCCTGGCAGAATTCCCCAATTTGTATGTGGGATTCACAGCCCTAATCACCTACTTGAGGGCTACAGAGGTCCGGAATGCCGTTTCCCAGATCCCTCTGAACCGCATTGTGTTGGAGACAGATGCGCCATATTTCCTGCCAAGACAGGTATGTGTAGATAGAGGCTCGGGAAATCCAAAACGCACATCTTGTGTCATTAATGAAAGAAAAGGTTTCTGCCATTTTTTTTAAAATTGCAAAATATTAGAAATGTATTATTGAACAAACTAGAGGTATGTCATACAGTTTATTAGGTACGTCATGCTAGTACTGGTTAAACCTGCTTTTGCCTTCAGGGGATCTTTAATTCTTTGTGGCACAGACTCAACAAGTGGTCAGTTCTCAGAGAGTTTGGTCTCAGATCACAACACAGAAATGCCCACTTTGCTATCAGATTAAACATTTGAACAGTCTTATGTTACCAAGATATGATCACAAAAGATCCTGTTATCGTTATGTTCAGTGGTTTTTTGTTTTGTTTTGTTTTTTGTTAAACCAGCATAAAGGAGGATGAAAGGTATATAATAGTATGACGACAGTCTTGGGAAGACAAACAAAGTTAGATCTATATCAGAATTAGATGTAAAGCATCAGAGCTGTCTCTTGTGTTCCTTGACTGCTTGATCTCTTGTTGATCTGAAACTAAAATTTTCACTCCAAGAGTGGAGTGAAACTGGGCACACATTTCTATTTCTATTGAGTCTAAAACTACTATCAGAATTTAAAGCAAATATCCGTGTTGTTATATTCGAGGTATTAATTATTATGAGACTCCATGTTGACCTTTTTGAATGTCATGCTCTTCAACAGGTTGGGAAAGGTGTCTGCCAGTTTTCCCATCCTGGAATGGGCATCCATACTCTGCGGGAGCTGAGCCTACTGAAGGGGGAAGACATGGCCACTGTCCTTGACACCATCCGAAACAACACCACACAGCTGTATGGTATATGACCTTCAGAGAAAATGCTGCAAACTGGCAAGAAAGAAGAGAGACGTTTCCTGTTTTTGTTTTATATTTGTCAATTCTCCATATATGGATGTTGACGTGTGGAGAAGAAATCTCATTTTAAACAACCTGAAAGTGAAAAAGGAGACAAGCCTGACTGGAATGAAAATATCTCTTGTCTAACAGAGATCCAAGTGTATAATTGTTTATCTGAATATTTCTTTTATGCTATTGTTATTACAGATTCATTTCTATTTCTTTTTTTGTGTGTTTCTGTAGTTTTACATTGCTCGCTTGTTTAGTTTGCTGGACGTTTGGCTGCCTTGGTGTGATGCAGTAGAGATGCATTAAAAGTCTTTATAATAGTGCTTATTTTTTCTCTGAGATATGTTTTGTTAAATTAGTCATCAGTGCGAACACTGGTGCTGATGGAGGAGCGCACGGAGACAGGAAAGCATAGTCTTTTACAGTGGAGCAAACGTGTACACTGAACAAAGCCGATTCTGCATTGATGAAAGGAGTGGGGCTGCGGGAGCGGTCCATTACTCCACTTTAATGACGCCCTGCTCGTCACACACATTTGTCTAAGTGTTCTTTTTTTTTTCTTTTTTTTTTTTTAAATCTTGAAAACCATTATCTGCATAAAGGTTAGTGTGTGAAATAAGGAAACAATATCGAGAGTGAACAGATGTATGTTCATCCTGCCAGTTTTTTTTATTTTTTTAGCACATTTCTTATTATAGAGCCTTTAAAAAGGTCAGAGGTAAACTCTGTCACTGAGGTTTGGACAAGATGTTCTTCAACATCCTTATTCCTTTTTTTTCCCTTTTTTTCTTTTTTTCTTTTTTTTAAAAAAAAGGTCATTTTGTGTTTTGTAAGACATTTAGACTTTTAATTGTAGCTTTAAAGGTACCAGTTAAGTCTTTACTCAAGTGTTTGCATCCTAAGCATCTGTTTCTCTTTAATATTTTTAGCTCAAAGTTCACGTGGTGAGACATTCATGATCCATGATATCATGAGTGTCAGAATTTAATCGAACTGGCACACGGTGGTCACCTAATGGGTCTTCACCCAAATCCTACTCAAAGTCAAGCATAATGTTTATGCACAAGGCTTACACTTTATTCTCCCTGATGTATTCAACAATATTCAGTTCAGGTTATTTAGCAAAGTCGTTAACAAAACATTCTTATATATAAATTTGGCGTGTAAAAAGACATTCCCAGGCCAGTCGAGAGATATAATCGACTGGCCTGGGAATGTCTTGGTGTTCCCTGAGCTACGCTGAGGAGAAGTCTGGGCTTCTCTGCTTAGGCTGCTGTCCCCCCACGGCCAGCCCAGCCCAGGGTGAGTGGCGGAAAATGGATGGACAACTGTTTGTGGGGTTCCTTGACTTCTCAGTGGATTTTAATTGTTAGTTTTTGCAGTACAGCTAATTACCACCAAGAAAACTTACTTTGTTATTCACCCATCAGGCAACCTGTGAATCATGAACCGGATGAGCTGTTGCATCACAGAGCTTCTGATTTAAAGACTCATTAAATATAATACAGTGAGACAAAAGGTTGATTGATGCTTTATTGTATAAGGCATACCTGAATCCTAAAGAGACAGATGGTACAGTGTGTGCTGTAGTAATCTATACAGGGTATCATTTTTTACAGGTTGACTAACATTAGATCGTATTTCTCTGCCGACAAAGGAGTTTTAATAATGAATGCAAAATGTCAGAGTGTGAGTTAAACATTTGGGTGTTTGGGAGACATTTTTCCTAAAGCTGCACCCCGGGAAATTCATAATGACAGCTGAACCAACTCCTTGATGATGAACATAATCTTTGAGGCTGAAATCGCCAGGAAATGCTATTTGGCTGATTGATGTGTTCCATTTTACACACAGGGTCACGTGGTAAGCATTTTAATGTTTTAGGCATCATTCATTTATCTTGTATTTCATGTTATTTAACCACAGTCTAATAACTTAGATAACTAAAGCTGATTATGGAAAACACTGACACAGTCTCTGATCTTCAACGAGGAGATGGTCTCTCTGGGGAAAATAATATATATATATAAATATATATATAGTAATATTTAAAGGAAACACTTTTTTTTTAATGTATAAACCAGAAAGAAGGGACAACCTGCTGTTTCTGTGTTTCCCAGCAGGCGTTGGACAATCTCCTGCAGTTCTACAATGTAGTCCGCCAAGTCTTCTGCTCTCAAAGTGACGCCAATTTCAAAGGGCGCGCTTATCTGGTCAGAAGAGAAAAAACACAAAGCTGCAGGATTGACTGCTGGGAGATGGGCTGTATTTGTTTTGTATTTTTCCCCAACTCACTGTCATGGTTTTGTCCTCATTGGTTTGATTTGGCTCCTCCATGGCTTGGCGACCAAATCTGGAGGACTTCACTTTGTTCTGTGATTTAAAAATGACATCTCATTATTGTTATGAAATAATTTCCACTTAAGAGGTTTAATTAACATAAGAAAACCTCCCTAATTCAAATGGCATGGGTGAGGTACAGTGCAGAATAATGTCACGGGTTGGTTGGTGAGTTCACAGTCTAAATAGCTGGTAGGATTTTAAGTTTTGGTCCATCTTAAAGCTTTGGTGGTTATGATGGGTGATAATAAGTTTAAACCCAAAGGCTGAAAACAAAAAACATGAAGCATGAAATATTTATGGTGTATTACAAGTGTTAAAAAGAAACCAAAACTGAGTGAAGTTTTCATAAAGATTTTATAAAAATGTAGTTTAAAAAAAAAGAAGATAAATTAGGACAGAAAGTATCTCACCTGAGGTTTCTGTGATGGGCTGAGGAAGCTGGAGCCCGCACTGGTTGACTTGCACCACAAGGTCAAGGAACACAAGAGAAAGGCCAACAGGCAGGTGTTTCTTTTCAGAAGCATGGTGGAATAAAAACGTCTCCACTGCTGGATCTGCTGCACACAGTATGATGATGTTGTCTATTAAAAATCAGCTCTGATGCTTTTCACCTGATTCTGATATGGATCTAACTTTCTTTGTTTTCTGTGCGTCTTCGTACCATTATATACCTTTCATCCTCCTTCATGCTGGTTTTAAAAAAAAAAAACACTGAACACAATGGTAACAGGATGTTGTGTGATCATATCTTGGTAACATAGGACTGCTCAAATGTTTAATCTGATAGCAAAGTGGGCATTTCTGTGTTGTGATCTGATATGAGGTCTGATGGACATCTTATCAGTGGGCTATGGACAGAATAGTATTGCAGTCACAGACTTCTACAGCAGCACTGACTCTCAGGCAAGAGCTGTAATAAAGTTAGCAATAATCTAATGTTTGATTAGACAGGACACTTAAATTTATATCAACATAGTGTTATCATTACATCTGTGCTCAGCTGGAATAAATGCTACTTTAATATCTCTGAAATAAACAAATAAACCAAAGTAACTGGAGCGGATCTTGACACAGCCATGTGGCATTTAATTTACAAGGATTTTCCCTCACATTTACATGTCTGTGTTGTGTAATTGTGCTTTCAGTGGAACTGTGGTGGTTCAAAAATGTTTTTTAGTTTTTAAATCAACAGCCTACCAATTGACAAAATACACGAAGCCTCAAGCATCATGCATAAGACACAGCATGAAGGACAGTATATATGAAATGGAAAATTTGCATTGGTCAGACAGCTACTCCAAGAAGTGTAATTACATTTCTTTGATTTAGGAAAGTAATCTGTATTTAATATTTTTCTTATTTAAGCATCACACCTATCATATGGTTACTCAATACTTTGTTAGGTACACATGTCCAATTACTCAGCACGATTATCTAATCAGCCTCAACTCAATACATTTACCCATGTAGACATGATCTAGACGACCTGCTGAAGTTCAAATGGAAGAGCAGAATGAGGAAGAAAGGTGATTTAAGTTACTTTGAGTGTGGCATGGTTGTTGGCACCAGATGGCCTGGCCTGAGTATTTCACAACCATCTATACGACCTGCTGAAGTTCAAATGGAAGAGCAGAATGAGGAAGAAAGGTGATTTAAGTTACTTTGAGTGTGGCATGGTTGTATGTCTCCAGGGTTTACAGAGAATGGTCTGAAAAAAGAGAAAATATTCATTGACTGGTAGTCAAGCAGTAACTCGGTCCCTCGTTACAGCCAATGTGCACAGAAGAAGACCGCACTCGGTTTCTCAGAATAGGAAAATTAGGCTGTGACATTAAGATGTTCAGGAAATAAACAGTCCGAAAGCATGTATCCATCCTGTCTCATAACAGCAGATCAATCTGCAGGGGACATTTTTGGTGTACGCTTTTCCCCCTCAATACCAACTGATCATCCTTTAATTTCCACATCTTACCTGAGTATTGTTGCTGACCAGGTCCATCCCTTAATGAACACACTGTACCCATCTTTTGATGAAAACTCTCAATTTCAAAAACAAATCCCTCAAACACTTTTGGGATGTGTTTAATTTTCATTGAGGAAATGGTAAGTTTATCCAAAAAAGCTTCTACCCAACAAAGGTGCAGACACTTTTGTCCTCCTAAACATATTGAAATTGTGTTGGATTCTAAACCTTGGATTAATGTCAATAGCCCTGCTGCAATTAAAGCAATTTTCATAACTATATCGCACATAAATATATATGTGCACATAATCACCAATAAAGCAAAAGAGAAAAGAAAAAGAAAACTACAGAGACTCCCTCCTGCATGACTTTTCTTTCTTCCTTATAAAATCTGTTTTCCTTTATCTAGACTAGACAATAGTCAGCTCATTTTATTTTAGTTTATAGTTACTTTTTAACAAAAAAGGTGAAAGACTGAACGTTTGAAGCGGAAATGCGTGCAGTGTCGGAGAGACGCCACTAGTTGGCTGTAAAGCGACAGTTTGGTAGCAACAGAAACACCAACGAAGAAGTCGGATTGCTAACAGCAACAAACTGGAGGTTGAGGTGTAGGGGAAAATGGATAAAAAGAAGAAACCTTTAGACGTGACTGCTTCATCGGTGAGTTGAATGTACAGGCAGCTCTTCAAATATTTGTTTGACAGAAACTGCAGATGCTTAAGCTTAATTATACGGATAAACATAGCTAACTTACTCTCAGGGTTGCTAGCAGCACATAAAACGAGCATGGACTGTATTTAGAAGAAATACATAACGTTTGTTAGTTTTTCTTTTCTTTAGAGAATAAACAGCTAAATATTAAATTTCGGTTTTATTTCGTGCAGCTAGTGGACCTTAAAGCTGAGCTGTACAGGAAACAGGAGCAGTTCAAACGGGAGAAACTTGGACAAGAAACTTCTGGAGCAGGATTCAAAGCAAAATCAAAAGATAAGGTACAGCACGAGTGATTTCAGAACGTTTTTTTCTATAACGGTGTGCAATGGCTGACTCACGTTTCTAATTTTCCTCTCCACATGTTCCTCTGCAGAAGCCCAACATCTGGAGTAAACAAAATGCGGGTGTTTCAGCAAGAGCTGCTAAAGATGCAGAGCAGCTGGAAGAGGAGCGGAGCACCATCGATACAGCAAGGTGAGTTCAGTACTGCTGAAGTTTTTCTGTAAAACAGGTGGGTGACCAAAACCTCTCATGCCTTTTTTTTACTCTCACAACAGGCGTAAGTTGGAGGAGAAGGCGAGACTCTACGAACAGATGACTAAAGGAGACTTTCCTGGTTGGTGAACTGTTTGTGCCTTATGCCTGCTACAACAGTGTCAAAGTGGGCATACTTTGTATTTACCTTGTTGTGTAACTCATCAGATGAAGAGACGGAAGGGCTGTTCCTTGTTGACTTCACCCAGAAGATTATTGACAAAAAGAGAGAAACACTTGCCCAGAAGGAGAAAGAGGACGAGGAACAACTCAGCTCATCACCCGTCCCTCCTCCTGAGAACCCAGATGAAGAATGGTAACTTCACATTGATTGCATTCATCAATATTCAACTTGTGCTGGCACCATATAACATATCAATATTAGGCTTATATGTTTTTCAGTATTTGCTAATACATTATATTGCCAAAAATATTCGCATGTCTGTCTTGAGTGACATTCCTTTTTTTAATCCATAGGGTTTAAGATAATACTGGCCCACGCTTAGCTTCATCTCTTTCAGCTTTCCACAGGTTTAGGAGCGAGTTTAAGGGAATTTTTGACCATTCTTTTAGAAGCACATTTGTAAGGTCAGACAGTAATGTTTGATGAGAAGGCCTGGCTCGTAGTTGGCACTCTAATTCAGCAGTGGTCAGGATTCTGTGCAGGCCAGTCAAATTATCAACCTTGCTTTGTGCACTGGTGCTCAGTCATGTTGGAACAGGAAGGGCCGATGCCCAAACTGTTTCTACAATGTTGAAAGAATGAAATTGTCAAAAATTTCTCAGTATGCAGAAGCATTAAGAGTTCCTTTCACTGGAACCAAGAAGCCGAAACCACTGCTGTAGAATCCAGTGGCAGCTGCTCGGCCATAGAAACTCATTCCATTATGCTGGCTACCCACTGTTCTTGAGCTAATCTGAAGGCCACATGAAGTTTGGAGGTCTGTAGCGATTGACTCTGCAGAAAGTTGGCGATCTCTGCACAATGTACACCTCAGAATCCGCTGACCCTGCTCTGTGAATTTACATGGTCTGCCCCTTCATGGCTGAGCTGCTGCTGTTCACAGTTAGTTCCATTTTGTTATAATACCAGTAACAGCTGAGTGTTTTGCTCTGTGAGCAAAAATTGCCCTGCGAATATAGGAGTGATCAGACTCTATCACTGCTTTTTGACATTACAGATAAACAAATGGGCTTGTGTTATTTGTCACAATATTTAAAAAAAACAAAAAACAACTTTTTTTTTCTCTGCAGGGTGGACTTTGTGGATGCTTTGGGACGATCTCGGCGGTGCATGAAGAAAGACCTGCCAGACTTTAAGAAAATGGACCAAGACCTTCAAGGGAAAGGGTAATTATTTATGTATTGTATTTTTTTTTTTAAAGATTTGTGTGATATTTTTTTTTCTTCAAGGATGTTAATGAAATATTTGAAACTCTTAACTCTTTTGGATATGCCTGGTCCCTGAAGAAAAGCTTCATCAGACAAGACATTACTCTCAGAAGACATGCGACGAGAGCTGCAGAGGCAGGAGTGGGAGAGGGAGGAAGAGGAGGCAATGAAAAGGCCTGTTGGACCGATTCACTATGAGGATATCAGACAACAGGGTTAGTGTCACAGCAAAGAACTTTGAGCCCTTACATTGTCTTTCACTCAGTCAGCCACAAGGCGATTTGTTTGTGGGTACAGATTAGTATTGAGCCTGTGTCATCTTTCCTCATAGTTGGCTACAGAGTTAATGATGATCTTGAGAGTTTGAAGTTAGATCCTTGTGGGTTTTGCTTAATCACCACTGAATTCTTTGCCAAATAATATATACCAAAATAATTTATGGACTGAAAATAAGGTCTTTTTTTATGCTACGCTACACTTTGAAACAGAGGAAGTTTGGTTTGCAGGTTTGAAACTGTTGTCTTACAGTTGTTCTTCTTATCTCAGAGGCTCGGGACCTTGGTGTGGGGTACTACGCATTCTCTCAGGATCAGGAGCAGCGGCAAAAACAGAGAGAAACTCTGGACATGCTTAGAGATCAGGTGAGCTATTAAACACATGTAAAATGCCGGCCCAGGACAGCATTATGGTTTCAGATAGAGGGATGGACATATAGATATTCTATTCATCCCAGGGGAATGACTGTGTTATAGCAGCAGCATAAAGAATAAAAAAAAAACATTGATAAAAGCACCACAGGCCCATATTGAAGGCTTTGTTATGTGAGGAAGTGCAAAATTGTACATACAAGAGAAAGAGATAATTTGATAACGATGGAGAGAATTAATAAAGGAATTATTTAACTGTTTACAACACTGAAAA